TATATATAAGTACGTCTGAACCAGTGACAACTCTACAACATATTTATCCATCGGATCACCAGCAGTGATGGTGATACATGGCTGTGTACATTCTGTATATACAACTTGTCTAAACATCAGCCCAACAATGTTAGATCTGTAAATTTGCTTTCGCAAATTTTTAGTTCTTCCCTCGCCGGGATTCGAACTCATGCTACTGAGATATCATGACACCAAATCGCCTTCACTGTATCCGACGCGCTAGGCCTCTCGACTACCTAGGCTTAAAAAAATATAGCTTTCGGTGGCCGGGTGTTACCTTTCCTCGTCAGTTTTAATCTAGCGTCGTAATACAGTACATGATATATAAGGCATGAAGATGGAATTGTTACAGATCAGCTGAAATATCTATTGTAAAGCATCCCTCAAAATAATGCAAGATACAGTCACAGAAATAATTATATTTATAAGTACGTCTGAACCAGTGACAACTCTACAACAGATTTATCGATCGGATTGTAGAGTTGTCACTGGTTCAGACGTACTTATAAATATAATTATTTCTGTGACTGTATCTTGCATTAATTTGTAGGATCCTTTACAATAGATATTTCAGCTGATCTGTAACAATTCCATCTTCATGCCTTATATATCATGTACTGTATTACGATGCTAGATTAAAACTGACGAGGAAAGGTAACACCCGGCCATCGAAAGCTTTATTTTTTTAAGCCTAGGTGGTCGAGAGGTCTAGCGCGTCGGATTCAGTTCAGGCGATTTGGTGTCACAATATCTCAGTAGCATGAGTTCGAATCCCGGCGAGGGAAGAACTAAAAATTTGCGAAAGCAAATTTACAGATCTAACATTGTTGGGCTGATGTTTAGACAAGTTGTATATATATATATATATATATATATATATTGTTCAAAAACAATGCGCGAAATTGCCTTTTCGGGACCTTTTATCGCTTGCTGTGCGGCAGTATGGGTTTTGCTCATTAGTGTTGCTTACTTTTACGTAATTTGGTCTGTGGTGGAGAGTTGTCTCAATGGCAATCATATCACTTCTTCTTGTTTTTATATTGAACAAGATTACTATTTTTTTTTTTATATATTATATGTACTGCTTTGAATTATGAAAACTTATGGCCCTGCATCCTGTGTACTTACATTATGGCTTTATACACAAGGTCATTCTTTTCTAAGACGTTCATGACGTCTTTAACACACATCTGTTGGATGTGTACTGGTGGACACTTAAGTTTGGGAAACTTGGTTAATCTTTTATTTGTTATTGGCTTTGAACTAGCTTTCACTAACTGTGAGTACTCTTGGATCGGTACTTTTTGTCTTTTGCTTTTATGTTAGTTGTTTTTAAGCTTCCGGCCAGTCTAATGAGCCAAGCCAGTTCCAACTGATTTTTACAGTTTGTTTTTTATATTTTGCTGTTACACCATGCACTGTCTACATTCAATATGTGCCTGCCCCAAGTCAGGAGGCTGTAATTCAGTGGTTGTCGTTGAATATTGTCTGTTATATTCGTTTTTCGTTCATGATTTGTCCATAAATCAGGTCGTTGATTATTTTTTTTTCGTTTGAATTATATCCCATGTTGTCATTTCAGGACCTTTTATCTTATATCTTTAGAGTTTCCTCATATTGAAGGTTGTACTGTGACCCAAAGTTGCTGAAATCCATGTTATACGGACTCGGTTGGATCATGCAGTTGTCTCATTCGCAATCACTCATCACACCTCCTTATTGTATATTGAACTTTTTTTTATAAATAAGATCAGTCAAACACAAAGAAAAAAGTAAAAGAATAAATTACACACTTTTGAAAGATAACATATTCATCATATCATTCCAAGATAATGGAATCTATGATAAAACAGCAATTGGTCATCAAGGGATGGTGCCGCAGAAAATATCACAAAAACGTTTTATAAAGTAATAGAGTTATCTCTCTTACGTCCATGCCAGTTTCGAATTAGTACAGCTAATAATTTCTATTTTTAATATATGAACATCCTATAATGTTCTTTAAAAACCTGAACATTTAAACATGTTAATTGTTATCGACCACGTTAATTTTTCCTATAACAAGTTTGTCTACAGGCAAATGCAGGTTTTGTACATTATTATTAGATTATGTAAATATGCATTTAAGCTAAGGTGCGTTTTGATATTTACCTTTAAATAACCATACACAAATGCAGATCTATGTACATTGGAAACTTTGGGAATACAAATGCCTTCACTAGAACTTCGTGTCATTTGGTTAAATATAATCAGAATTAGAGACATATTTTTCCTTATAGTAACGACTGCCGACAATGTTAATACCGGTCAATTTTTTTCATTCTTTTACCGCTAACAAAACCAAAGATTTCACAAACACATAAAATGTGTACTAGTACATAAACGTACACGTAATTTGTGCTTACGTACAACTGGTTTAACCCCAATACATTATGTGCCTGCACTAAGTTAGGCTATCTGGACCATATGATGTTCGTTGTTTTTTTTTCCAGATCAATGCATGGCATTCATCGTTGTCTAATATAAGCTAAGCTATTCTTATGATACTCAATTCGAAGAACATATGCAAATATTTTCTTCCCTTATGAAACCCCGATTGCCACTTATTATAAGCAACATGACGTGTGTCACAAGTGGAGCAGAAACTGCTTTCCCTTCAACTCATGCACCTGGGGTCAACCCGAGTTTTATGTGGAGTTCGTTTTTCTCAACTTTTATGTTTAGTGTGTAGTGATTTGTGAAGTTTTGTTAATCTGTTCGTTATTTTTAGGTAACCATTGTATTGTCTGTTTTTCTTCGACTTGTGAGTCAATTGTCTTTTGGTATCCTTTATCTTTTTGGTAGGATGGCAACGATGACTATGCAATGTACTACGTACGTGCTGACTTGAGACAATCATAGTAAGCATATAACGGGGTTTCAACATATATTAATAAATGAGGACGTAGAGTTTACGACGAAGTAGCCCCAACGACACAAATAACCAAAATATCTCTTGAGATCACCACACAGTTTTCAACAATAGACTGGTCTCTATCAATATGACAACCCGTACATGTAAATCGTCCCTAGTGGAAAAAGGTTGTGGATGCGAGCACACATATGCATGTAAAGGGGCTTAGATGGGTTTTTATTTATATCTCATCTTTCGATCAATGGTCAAACAAAAGGTTAATAGAACATACCAAAAAGTTAAAATTTAAACAGAATTGTGTATCCCACAAAACAGTTGTTTTATCTATAAATGAAAACACTAGACATGGCTTTTATTAAAAAACTATTTGATGCACACACTGGCGTAGGTGGAATGTGTTTGCCCCCACTTTTTGGCAATTTTTTGTTTGCCCCACTGTTCAGTCTACTTCTACGCCACTGGCACATTAAAGCTCGAACTTTTCAAAGATTCATAAAGGTTACGCTAAACCCTGTGGTATCGCCTGCGATTGTTGCTGTCAGTGTAAAAGTTATCAGTAAAATACAAAATTTAAAAAAAGCAAACTTTTTCTTTGAATGCTATTTTTTTATCTTGAAGATAAGCTTCTGTCCAAGTTTCATAACAATCCACGAAGGTTTACAAATTTGTCATGTCAAAAAAATTAATCCGAGAATGTCTGTAAATGTTTACAAAGTCCATCTATTAGAAAAATACTGAAAATGAAAAAAAAAAACACCATACATTTTCAAAAGTTTGCTCTAGACATCTCTTAATCATAAAATAAGCTTCTGCCAATTTGAAAGTTTAATAAAATGCTACGAAGGTTTGACACAGTAATTGACGTGTAACAAACTTTAACCTCAGACTGTATCTACTTGTTAACTGTAAAAAAGTCCATTTATCAATAAAATACGGAAAAATGAAAATAAATATTTTCAAAATTTTGCTCTGGAAACTGTCTTTTGGTTATAAACAAGCTGCTGTCTAATTTTTTTAATAAAATTCCTTGAAGGTTTGACAAAGTTATTGATGACTGAAAAGCGTTAACCATAGACTGAACCTAAATGTTGACGACGCCGACGCTGCTGCCGACGACGTAATCTATGATCGCTATGTCTCACTTTTGCGACAAAAATGTGCCAGCGCGACAATAACAGATTTTCGTAACTAATCCTCAAAACGATGTTTTTCATATATATATATATATATATATATATATATGTTTTCACAGGCACTTGTCTCTGAAAAAATATTTTCCTATATACCTAATATAACACAAGGTACCTAACTTGTATATTTGAGAAATGTCACCCGGTCGCGAAATTCCGTTATATTTCGATTTTGCGGTTGTTTTATCCCACTGAAACTTGTCATCCCGTAAATCTACTTTGAATTATCTACAAAATGGTGTATAACACACCTATTTCTATTATTGGAATCATTCGAAATAGGCCTTCAAATATGTCAACCGTAATTATTTCGTCTTCTCACAACCATTGTGTAGATAATCAATGTAGATTTACAGCATGACAAGTGTAAGTGGGGAAGACAACCGAGGAATCGAAATATAACTAAAGTTCGCGACCGATTGTCATTTAAAAAAAATGAGATTTAAGTACCTTGTGTTATATTAAGTTATATAGGAAATTATTTTTCCACAGACAAGTGGCTGCGTATGTTTTTCATAAATGGTATGATTGATTTCTTAGGAGTAGAAAATAAAGGTGAAAAAGGTGTGATGAACTCTTAGTTCAAATGGCCTTTCAGTGGATTGGGAGTAGATTTAAAAGTCAGGAGAGTAGGGCAAAATTCTGAAAATAAACTTTTCTGTTTTTTTTCTGTAGTCTTATATAGCAGTGTCGTCTTTCATTTTCATTTTTCATTTTTAATAATTCCAAACATTGTGGAGGAATGTGGAGGGGCACCTCCCCCTTGCCCACCGGTTCCTACGACACCACTAATGGTCAAATCAGTTATCCTAATTTTCCATTTTATACTTATGTATAACCAATGTGTTCTAAGGTGCTTTATCCGAACGCACCATTCTCACACCTGTGTTAAATACCGATAGCGCTTAACTTTAACAACCTACACAAGATGGGACTTCAGCCGAAAAATGTTCTTATCACGGGTGCCAATAGAGGTTTAGGACTAGAACTTGTTAAGCAGTTTTTAAGATTGCCGTCACCACCTAAGACGTTACTTGCAACATGCAGAAGTCCAGAAAATGCAAAGGTCAGTATACAGTATATTTATTAGTGGCATAAGTGAAAAGATGGAATAATTGAGCAATTGCAGAAAAGTGCAAATAAACTCACCATAGGTATCAGGATTAAATTTTGTACGCCAGACGCGCGGTTCGTCTACAGAATGCTCACCAGCGACGCTCGAATAAAAAAAAGTTAAAAAGCAAATAAAGAAAATAACGAAACGTAAGGAAAAAATATAACTTGTACACGTAGGATTTGAATTATGAATCCTTTACCACGCTAGCGTCATGTCGTGATTTTTGTGGCGTTTTTAACAGACCTTGTTCACATCATTTCAAAAAGCTTGCCTGGCTGACACCACCAATGCTTTATTATTGTTTTGGTGTTAAAGATTTGAAAATATGTACATAGTTTTTTTTGTATATTCCTTGTGTTGGTTTCTTTGCATTTTGTTTTGATTTGGTACGTCTTGGTTTGCTCTAGATTAGTTTAGAGTTTTCTATTTAGTCTTTATGGTTCTGGTCTTTGAATACTTTAGAGCTGATTACGTCTGTAATCTTGGAATGATTTGAATGTATCCGCTATATTGGTACGAAGTGAGAAATTTTGTAGAGGGCCTCTTAATTAGCTTTCTTACAAAATTTGAAATTATTATGCATTCTGGACGAGAGTGTGACGAGGAATTGCCTCCTGCATCCATGTTTTTCAGCCTATCAGAACGAAACTAAGATATTTTATAAAGGAAATTTACCGTAACTAATTCATACAAAGAAGTAGTTAGGATTGGCCATTTGGTTTTAGATGAGATTCAATGATGAAACTGGGATAAAGCATAGGCTTTAATTAAAACGCACGTGTCACCATGGTGTCCACATCACCAGGAAATGAGAATCTTTATGGAGGGTTGCCCAGAAATTGGAAAATTGGTCAATCAGATTCAAGAATTGACTCGGGCGGCAAAATTTATTTTCCAGTCCACATGAATGAAAAGAGGAATTTTATGAAGGACTTTCCGTACATTATCGCTGCCAAGTTTGGTTTGAGTTGGCACAGTGGCTTAAGAGGAAATATTCAATTGTGAATTGTATAACGACGGACACAATGTGACGACAAAAGCTCACGTTGCAATAATGATTTTTTTGGAGAAGCATCATTCATTCTATTCATGTTTATAGGAGTTACGCCCATAAAGGTTGGAATAATTTTTTTGTTTTTGTATCATGAAAATTAAGATTATATATGCATTGATTTATCATATTATTGCTGTTGTTCAATCACTGAGTCTGGTATTTTTTAAAATAAAAATCAATTCGCTTATTTATAGTTTGAAGCACTTTTGAAAGTTTCTTTGGTTTTTCTGCACTGAAATTCTGTTCAGTTTTTTTCTGGACATGTATACAAGTTCTCGTTTTCCGTACTGTGTATGTCGCTCCTGTATGAAACTTTCGATGACTGTATTTTTATTATCTATTGAACTGCTTATATTGTATGTTTTCTAATGTACGTTTTGTTAATCCACTGATCAAAGTTCAAACAAGAGGGTTGAGACTAAAACCTGGTTAACCTCGTAACATATCCATATGCCTGTCCCAAGTCCGAAACCTCGGCATTTGCGGTTTTGTGTTGTATCTGTATAGTATTATTGTTATAGTTGTTTGTTATTTTGAGAATTTGATGTTGATGGCATATCTTTGTTTGATTTTGTTTATTTATTCACATTTAAAAACATTGAATGATTTATAATTTGACATTATGTATAAAACATGTCTGTTGTGAAAGACTACATTTGCCATCTACATGTCTTTTGGTGTATATCTTTGTTGTTTTCATTTTTATTGAAGTATACCACACAACTTATTCTATTATTTATATAAATAACAGATTGTAATATAGATGCTATCCACTAGTTATTCACTTAATTTTTCAGTTCTCAAGGTAGGAACAATTCTCTGAATGCAATATATCCAAAAAGACGAAGAAGATACCAAAGGAGGCCGCCAAAAACCATAAGATTACGAAAAAAGACAAAATCATGGCAAAAATGAAACAAAAGGAGAAAAGATAAATAACAAATGAAAAACAACAAACAAACAACTAAAGATGGAGCAACCCAAACCTCAACGAATGATGAACTCATGTGCTCTGGAAGGGTTAGCAGTTCCAGTTTCCATAGTAACTCCTGTCATGATATTCTCGTTAAAATCTGTTCGTGAAATAATTTAGACATGTAAATAGGTGTTGTTTAATGTTGAATATGAGACAAGAAGGATATTTATTTCATATACAAGCCTTACAAAGATATTTTATTATAGTTTATTACATTATTGTTTGTTTTAGGATCTAAATGACCTGGCTTCTAAACACAGCAATGTAAAAATTTTGAAGCTTGGTGAGTTGTGATACTTATTACTTACAGCATTAATACTGACACTAACGGTACCGATTTTACTGCACCAGATGCGCATGTCGACAATTAACATCTCTTCAGTGATGCCAGAGGCCAAAATATTTGAAAAGCCAAACCTTATTCAAAAACGAAGAGCTGATAAACCAAGAAGGACAAAAAAAAAACAGCCAATTAAAATATATGATGTTTTTATATTCATATATATTTTTTTGTAGAAAACAATTAACTTCTGTTTAATTGTCACCTTGTTAATCACTGATTTATATATCGATAAAGTACAGAAATAGGGGGAGCAGTTGAACCAAAGAAAAAGAAATGATTTTAAACCACCAATTTGATGATTATTATATACATATTGCACTACTCAATTCACGTTGTTCAATCGTCAGTTAATTTTGACCTGTGTTTTGGAAAGCTTTTATCTTTTTCGGTTTTTTATTTTATGATCATGGTTTTGTATTATAGAAAAACAAAGGATATGGGGTATCCATCCATGACAAAAAATCAGTACATGCAAGCAAAATAAAAAAAAACCACACAAAAATCAAAGGAACAGCGGTTTTATTGCTGTTATTCATCTCAAAGTCACAGTGAGGCTTTCAACACGGAGCAAAAATACTCTCACCTCACTGCAAGTTTAAGACGGCCCCTTGTATGTTCTTCTTTGATAATGATTTTGTATTGCCCCTTATACCCCTTGGCATATTACTATTGTTTCAATATAATCCAACTTGATTTTAAATACTACATAATACTGATATAAAATATTTTTTAAGTTAAAATATGACACGTATGACTTCTGATGTCGTGTGTCGACGAAACGCGAAGGTTTGTCTAGCCTCAGACACAGTTGGAATATGCTAAATTTGGCACAACTTCATAGTTGATTTGGTTTTCTAACTATTTTGATAGACCGTCTTGTGTAGACGAAATGCGTTTCCGGCGTACTTAAACTATAAGCTTGATATCTCTGATGACTTCTTACAACCACTGGGTCGATACCATTACTGATGGAAGTTTCGCCCAGAAAGATGTCACCAGTTTAGAAGTCAGCACTCCTGTGCTATCATTTAATATCATTGATGTAAATTTGCTAATTATATTCAATCAAATCACGAAGGTTGGCTTCATTTAACACTATGTTTTGGGAAATATTTTGATTTCAAAAGACTGATTTGATATTTGAACTATTTTTATTCTAGCTCCACCGATGAGTCTTATTTAGAAAAGTGTAGAATGGTGTATTTAAATTATAAGATTGGTTTTAAAGCGATAGAAAAGGCCACATTAAGGAGGAATGAAAGTAAAAACATTTTTAAAAAGATTTTCATGATCATATTCTAACACGTCACACAAGAAAGGTAAATACTTGAGTTTGATGATATGTAACATGTAATATATTTAAAATCTTTGATTGTTATTAGAACTGTGTATATTTGAATGCCAACCATTCTGTCTTAACATTCAGGGGATTTGTGAGTCAATGTGTTACACTCTTGAATTTTGCTGATTTCAATTATTAGCATTTTGTTATTCATTATTTTGTAAATGTCTGAAAAGTTTAAAAACCCAGAACTTTGGAAAAGTTTTTTTTCTTGAATCCTTTTGTGCTTCAACGAGGTATGTCCTATCCTGATAAAAAGAAAACACATGTAAACCGATTGATATATTAAAGGACTTTTTCAGCAATGTCACAAATTATCATACATTTTGCATTTAATTTTTAATACATTGTACTTTAAAACTTTAAAATTGGAAAACCTTTTACGGGACAACATTATCTTATAGCTATTTCATGTTTAATCGTAGAATTTAAGATTATTCAGACGATGCACAGGCTGCACTGTAAAAAATATAAGTGAGAAAGTTATATATCTATTGTGGCTTCCTTGTTAACGTTTCTCGAGTCGACACAACATCTAAAAGTGTAATTTCTCTTTAAAAGTCATGTTGCTCAAAGACTATGGAAAATAATTAGTTATCGTATTGTAATATTTGATTTTAAATCTCTGAAAGTTAACAATGCTAAATATCGGATAGACGAATTATGATTCAGCGCTTTGGAACTTTAATCTTCTGTCATATAATAAGAGACTTGGCAACTTAAAATATAAGAGACTATTACAGAATGTCTTTTAAGTTATAAGTCAAAGGCTGTTAAAATGAAGGAGTTATTTTTAAAGGGCCAAATTAACCTGTCAATATGACCGCATATATTGACCAGACGGGATAATCTTAGACTCTGCAAGATAAATTAAAAAGATTAGAAAAAAGTTAAATCACAAAAATACTGAACTTCGAGGAAAATTCATAACGGAAAGTCCCTAATCAAATGGCAAAATCAAAAGCACAAACACATCAAACGAATGGACAACAACTGTCATATGAAAATTAAGTCTTTATACATTTTTGTTGCTTAATATTGAGGACTCTCACAAATTCCTTTCTGCGATTTCACAGATGTGACACAGCCTACTTCATTTGAGAATTTTCCGAAATTGGTAGAATCATTCATTGAAGGAGAGGGGTTAAACCTACTAATAAACAACGCTGGCATTAATATAAGACATGGTTTAGAGGAAGCAGACAGTGAAAGTATGATGGAAACATACACAACTAATGTCATTGGTCCATTGCGAATGGTTCAGGTAATAAGAGATCAATAGATCTTACAACCAGACCCATATGGTTTAAACCATCTTTCTAGCAAGTTTCCAGCTGTTCAGATTGTTAAAAGATCTTTATATTAAACTGATAGGTGAAAAAGACATTTTGATCATGCGGTAAAGGTGAAACCTGAGATTTTTTTATTTTTTATTAAATATCGGTCAAACATCCTTCACTCATAAACTATCAAGCAATCTGTTGGTTTCTTTCTTACATTGTGATTATTTTACTTAACTCATACAACATGGATATGAGAAAAAGTCAATTAGGAAAAAAAGTTGAAGATTCACTCATCATACAATACAATACAATACAACACAATATTTTTATTTTTCCAAATTAAAGGGCCCAATAAGAGCATAACATTAATAACAACATGACATAAACATTACAGAGTGATTAAAGAAACATAAAATAATAGTTCAAATGCATGAGGAAAGGGTCAGTGGTCAAGGGGAGATAATTTTGCTATCTATTAGAGTATTTAACTAATTTTCTGATTTTCTAAGTTGCAGGCCTTTATTAAGGTATGCACATACAATAGATAAAAAACTGCTATCTTCATTACTCGTGATCCATGTAAAAAGATCATTTCTGTTTAAATTAACTGAACTGGGGTATTTTGTGATATAATCAGTCATATCTCTTCTGAGGTTATTGTAAAGAGGGCATTCCAGAAGAAAGTGCATTTCATTTTCAATAGAATATGAATTACAATATAAACATATCCTCTCATGTTGAGGTAATATTTCATATTTACCACATACATTGATAAAACGTTCATGTCTGCCAGTTTCTATTCTTAAACAGTGATTGCTGAGTCTGTATTTTGTTAACAAATGTTTTTGTGGGTGCTTTAAATCTAAATAATTTTCATAGTCAACTGACCTCTTGAATGAAAAATAAGTGTCCAATTTGCCTTGATTCTGTAAATAAAAATCTCGCATTTTCTCCCAATCATTTTGAAAATTTAATTTGAGCTGTTTTTTCAGTAAATTTTTTAATTTATTTTTGCCTAAATTTTTACATATATTTAAGTCAATACCCAATTTTTCGCTGTAGAAAATGATATTAGAGAGCCATGAATTATTTGAGATAGTTTGAGCTTTACTCTCAATCATTTTTAACTCAGCATAAGCACTTTTCAATAAATCAGATGGGGAATTCTCTAGTCTATGCCAATACATAAACATATGTGTTAGCAAATTTATATAAAGAGGATATCTACCCAGTTCAGACAGGACTGCTACGTTTGTGCACATCTTTTTTATACCTATAATATAATTGCAAAATTTTAAATTTCTCAAACTCCCAATCTTTAAATATGTCATAAAGGGATAATTTTTTTCCTTTTAGGAGTAATGTTAATAACACCCCAATTTTCACAACCATACGTTACAATTGGCTGTATACAATGATCAAATAAATGCAAAAGAGTTTTAATAGGAGGATTTGATGATTTCAAATCTTTATACAGTTTAAGACTCGCCTTTTGACCTTTTTGGAATAATTGTTTCCTGGCTTCATTAAAGTTTCCAGTATTTTGGATGACTATGCCAAGATATTTGTATTGTTTAGCACATTCGATAGAATTATTTCCTGTCTTTAAATCTTCATTAAGGAGTCTACCACTCCTATTGAATATAATAATCTTTGTTTTCTTCACATTTATTTCCATACACCTATCTTTGCAGAATGTGCACAAAGTATCAAGTCTCTTCTGAAGCCCTTCTTTTGAGTCAGATATTAATACAAGATCATAGATACCAGACTTAAAATTTAAAAGAAGGACACACATTACCATGACAACAAATAACGAAAAGACAATGCGCCACAAAAAAAAAATCCATTTGAAAGCTAATATGATTTTACCTAGACATCAACAATTATTCCCTTGACATTATAATTTTCCAAAATTACTCGGGCAGAATTCATTTTCATTCATACACATGATGAAATTATAGATGACTTAAACTCCAACACTGAAACGGTGTCTTTAACGGATGACGTCACATCTGAGGTCAATTTTGTATTCCTCAGTAGTCCTACAGAATCTGAAAGTGAAAACCATATCATATACTACTAAACAACATGAAATCAGCAATAATGCGTAGATGAAATCAGTTGATCGTTAGGATTTCGGATTCACATGAAGATTTGTGCATTCGAAGGAGGAGATGCTTTCCCGAACGAAGTACCTGGTATCACTCCGTTTTAATTTCTTCAGTAAATATAAAAAGAAGATGTGGTATGATTGCCAATGAGACAATAGACCAATTGACACAGAAATTAACAACTTTAGGTCACCGTACGGCCTTCAACAATGAGCAAATCCCATAAAACTTTAAGTAACTTCTTTTTTGTCTAGTTATACCTGTCAACAGAGATCGGTATACAACCTGCATATTACAACCTAAAATGATTCTATGTTTATAAGAATAGGTCGCCGTTACAATTTATTTATATTCCTTCATTTTACTAGAGATCTACGTTCTAATCTAGAATTACTTATATCTGACACGTTCTAGGAAATCAGGGCTTTCGGTCATAAAAATTTCGAATACGATTATCGTTCTCTGACTAAAAATTCAACCAATCAAAATGCAGGATTTGGTGTTTCGCGCACCATTTTTGTACCCCGAGTACTGAGTAAAGTTTTCGGATTGAGGCACCAATAACGATTATAATGTATGCGTTTAATATTATTATAATAATAACTATTATATCGAGGTTCTTGAGAGTTTAGACAGGTATATGCAAATGTAGCGGGGTTAACTTAAATTTTTGAGATCTCAACCCTCTCCTTTTTTAATATCGAACAATAGATTAACGACACATGGAATACAATAAAGACCAGTACAAGGAAAGCACTCCATTTTAAAATAATGGTATAAAATTAAACAAAAATTAATATGAATAAAAAATATATAATACGGTATTGAATAATAAAAGTTAAAACAGAACCTTCTGATAAAAAATCACGCCGTCCTACACTTAATATCGTTTACTGTACTTCATAAAAGATTTTATATATCAACATCATAAACAGTACAGACAGACATGATCTTGTTCAATGCCTAAACAAAATTGTCTGCCTATTTTGATTGTACTAACAGGAATATTTGTAATATTATTTTTCTTGTATTTGAGCATGAATAAAAACGTTTTTTTTTTGTTATGAACGTTATTTAAAACTTGAAATATAATAGATCTAAAATGCATTAAAGTCTTGTCTATTTGCTATTACTTATTAGTGTCGTTGAGTTGATGTTCATTGACGTTAACCCCACATCTCATTTGTTCATATTAACACAGTTTATAACACAATGTTGACTGCTGTTCCCCAATTTTTGACATGTTTACCTAATATGTCTTGTTTGTTTTGCTCACACATTGTTGTCAATATAATGGAATTATATGCGACTGTCATGCGAGTGAGAGATTTGGCTGGCTATGGGGCCAGGTTTGGTCCAACATTTTCTGCATGGGGAAATGCCTGTGCCAGGTCGGGAATGTGACAGTTGTTTTCCTTTTGTTTGATGTTTTTGAGCTTTTGACTTTGCCGTTTGATAAGGGACTATCCGTTTTGAATTTTCAACAAAGTTCGATATTTTTGTTATTTTACATTTTAAAACTTAAAAACCTGTATTGTTTAACTACGTTTTCCTTTTATCTTAATTCATGTCTTACAAAGAAATTAGAGTTCATTTCCCTGATGGGGAATGTAGCTTTGAAAAACATAAATGAATAAATTTCTTATTTATAGACAATTCTTCCTTTCTCGTGCTGTAAAGTTTTTGAATCAAATATGAGTGCAGTCATTTTCCCACAAGATTTATTTATTTCATGTCAATTCCATTTCAAATATCAAAAGCAAAAGATCAAATGAAATGCTGGTGATTTGAACGTGTTTGTTTGTTTGTAAATGAATTCACCTGTTTTTTTAACTAATGCAAAAATTCAGGTAACTCGTATTAGAGCAATTTTAATTACAAAAGGTGGCAATTTTAAAAAGAGCTCTTCAAACAATCTGAACATTATTGAACACTTGCCAACAATCATATAACTGTTGTCTTGGTTTGGAAGTAATTTATCTTTTTATTAAATTATTATTGTATCTGTTCATAACAGACGTAACGAAACCTGCTGATAGTGGAGAAAGCACAACAAAATTAGCTGGTTATCTAGCTAAGGAGGGACTTAACTTGCTGATCAACAATGCAGGCATTGCCTACAAGAAACAGTTTTTAGGGAATTTGGAAAAACAAACCCTTATAGAACAATTTGACGTTAACATCTTTGGTCCTATCCTAGTGTCACAGGTGAAGTTTTCATATTATTTTGCGTTAAAGTCACTACTATAGTCACTAAATATATCGTTTTTGATCACTAGTATTGATGTTTTTTAAAAAAATGGAACAGTAAGATGCTTAATTATAATTCGGTAGACTTTCAAATAATTTGCGATCATCCTGCTGGTGTATCAATAGATTCTAATTCAATTATTTCACCACTATGTGCTGAATTGTCATTAAAATAGAGATGGAAGATACCAAAGTCGGAAAAACCTGACCATACCATGGAAAAAAACGAAAAACGACCAAAAAACAAACAGTAGTTCACAAAGCACAGCAAAAAAAACTAAAGACTGAGCAACACGAACCCCATTAAAAACCGGGGATGACCTCGGGTGCTCTAGAAGGGTAAGCATAAGATAATCGACTTTCAAATTGTTTGCGATGACCCCGCTAACGTACCAACGGAGTCAATTTTACAATAATTAAATGTAATTATTTCTTGAATGCCAAATAACTTATTGAAATAAAATGAAATTTAAAAACATCTTACTATAGCAAACAATGGTGACATTTTATATTTTGTTGTAGGCATTATTACCATACATAAAACAGGCAGCGAAGTCCTCAACATATACCAGTTTGAACTGTAATAGGGCAGCTATTGTCAATATGTCAAGTATACTGGGTTCTATAGCTGAAAATCAAAGTGGTGGACTTTATCCATACCGGACATCTAAGGTTTGTCCAACCATGGCGATACAAATTTCTTTCTATAGCTGACAAAGTGGTTGACTTTATCCGTACCGAATATTAAAGGTTTGTTGCCTCTAAATCAATAAAGTTTCTATTGCTAACAATAAAAACGCTCATCATAAATACAAGGATTAAAATGTATGCTAGACACGCGTTTCGTCTACAAAAGACTCATCAGTGGCGCTCTAATAAAAAAAAGTTACAAAGAGGCGGACTATCTATACCAGACATCTAAAGATGTTGCAACTAAGAATTTACAATTTTCTATTGCTGACAAAGTGGTTGACTTTATCCATCCTGAACATCTAAGGTTTGTTCCAATTAAGAGGATACAAATTTCAATTGCTGAAGATCAAAGTGGTTAACTTTATCCATACCAGATATCTAAGGTTTGTTCTAACAATACAAATTTCTATTACCGACAATCAAAGAGGAGGTCTTTGTCCATCCCGGACATCTAAGGTTTGTTCCAACTGAGACGTTACATATTTCTATTGCTAACATTAAGTTGGCGAAATTTATCCATATAGGGCATCTAAGGTTTGCTCCAACTAAGACGATTAAAAATTCTATAGCGGACAAAGTGGTGATTGTATCCCTCCAATACATTTTAGTTTCGTTCTAACTAAGGTGATACAAATTTGTTTTGCTGACAATCAAAATGGTGGGATTCATCCATACCGGATATCTAAGGTTTCTTCCAACCAAGACCATGAATATTTCAATAGCTGACTAAGTGGAAGACTTATTAATACCGGTGATCTTCGGTGTGTTCCAACGAAGACAATAGACTTTTTTTGCTGACAATCAAAGTGGGGGACTTTATCCATATCAGTCATCGAAAGTGTGTTCCAACTAAAACATTACAAATTTCTATTGCTTACTATCAAAGTGAAGGATCTATACCGGACATCTAACGTTTTTTAGCCACGAAAACCCACCAAATTTCTATTGCTGACAATAAAGATGAGACCTTTATCCATACCTTACATCTTAGGTTTGTTCCAACTAAGACGATACAAATATCTTTTGTTGAAAATCAAAGATGACGACTTTATCCATACTTTACTTCTATGGATTAGTCCCAACCAAGACCGTTCAATTTAGATATTGACCATTCTCTCCCTTTTTATATATTTTTTACAGTTATCAACTGTCATCTTTGATTCTCTTAATCACCGAGAGATTCATTTTCAATTTTGTAGATGTCATAATTGTAAACATGTTTGTATTAGAATTCATTCACTTACCGTAGATACAACCAAGCCGGTCTTGATAATCAAATGGCTTTCAAATATTCGGCTTTGAGCGTTCCTGGTGAAGCTAAATCCAAAAAAGCGCTTCGGACGCATGAAATTTATAACGTGTTGTTTTCAATTTTTTATAGAAAAGATATATTGAGAGAGAGTGTAATGATGTTTTCCCGTCGTATTATATTTCATAGTACAGGCATCAGATTACAGCTTATTAATTTATGTAAAGGAAAGATAAATGGTAACTTTAAAGGTACAGAAGAATAATTATGTTGACAATTTTTTTTCTCCCTTTATTAAGGATGTATTCTTCTGACGTTTCAGTCTCGTTGAAATCTCGTTCTGGAATTATTTCCAAAACATGTGATACAAGTTGAAAATATCAATGAATTTTATAAATGTTATAATTAAACTTAACTCTGTGAAAAAATTGTGTATTTACAAGAGCAGTTTTTGAGTAATAAATTTTTCAAATTTTACGACCAATCAAGTCGGTCTTTTTATCCAAAATTTTGAGAAAATGGGTGAGGGTTACAAAAAATGATTTTACCGGAATCATGTACATCCCATATAATGTTTTCTTTGATATGTATTTTTTCAATCATTTATAACAAAAAAGTTGAAATAATATGCATTTTGTTCTTAAAACTGAGAAAAATCACAAATTTACAAAATTGTCAGCATGGTAAATTTGACACAAAAAAGCATCAAAATATGATAAAACTTTTTTATATTAACACCTACCTATAGTTTTTTTTAGTTAAATTTATTCAGATTGGTCCACTTCATCTTTATTGAAAGTATGAAAAAAGTTTAATTGTGGAACTGTGATTTTTTTCACGATAATAGCCAAAAAATAGGTAAAATTGATGAAAATGGGAAATTCATCAAAATTGTGTACTTTCAAAGGGCCGTAGCAAAAAAAGAAGTGCACCACCATAAGATTTTTTCTTCACCAATTATTTTTTTACAGTCATATAAACCCAAAAATTAGGTTAAGAAAAAAAGTTTAATTCTAGAAATTTTTGGCTCCTCAGAGGTGTACATCCTTAAGTTAACTTATATACATTTGTTCGGTATTTAGTTTTCTATGTTGTATTCTGTACTATACTGTTGTTGGTCTTTTCGGATAATTTTTCGTTTTTTCCATGACATTGTCAGATTGTTTTCGACTTGTAATTTTGAATGTCCCTTTGGTATCATTCGCCTCTCTTGTACATTGGACATTGACCATTATTTGAATAATTGGGTATAACTGGATAGTTTTAACTTGCTTAAGATAGTAATATGAATAGCAACTAGGTCAACCAAATGAAAGTTGTATGAACAGAAATATTGAAAAATCATATTTTAAGATTGTTTCCTTAATTTCTTTTAGGCAGCTCTGAATATGTTGACAAAAAATATGAATGTGGATCTTAAATCAGAAGGAATTCTATGTTTCTGCATGCATCCAGGCTGGGTACAGACAGACATGGGTGGACCCAATGCAGCTGTGGTTAAAGAAACATCAATTGCAGGAATATTAGATGTTATGTCTAAAATGAATGGAGAGACATCTGACATATTTATAGATTATAGTGGGCAATCTGTACCATGGTGATATATAAATATATATTCAAGTAGCAGTATGTAGCACATATTTGATATCAACCATCTAACAAAACACTAGTGAGATGGCGTTATCTAATGATGATTCAAAATGTTATAATCTCAGGTTGATTTAAATTTATCACATTGTTTTCATGATGCTTAAACATGTTTAATTATAATTATTTGATTGTTATTTATCTATAAACACTCATCAAAGATTTTGTACGCCAAACGGCTTACTTATCAGTAGTATTCGAGTCAAAACAGTTGGAAGGCAAAACTAAATACAAATTTGAACAGCATTGAAAAACAAATTTTGAGAAAAGTTTTGCCAAATATAGCTAGAGCCATCTGTGCGTGGGGGTATACAACCTTAAGTGTATATTTGTAAAACAACCCTTTCTTTATTGCTTATGTGGTTTATGTTATATGATACAATGGATAAGCGTGGATTCTTGAAAAAGAAACCATGAGCCCTGAGGGCGAATGGTTTGTTTTTCATGAATCTACGCTTATCCATTGTATCTATAACTTAAACTATTGTGTTAATTTCTTTTCAAAATTAAAGCCTTTTCTTAATTAGATGGTATTGTAAGTGAGTTTAAATAACCATGTTATCGTGTCCAACGATGCATTGATAAATCTCAGATCACAATTAATTGGTTAACAAAATACAAATATAACACTTCTACCTTTAAAGATCTTTATATTACCAGGCATATGAATATTATCTGTTTATACAAAATAAGACATATTCGAAATAATTCTAATAAAATTGAAAATGGAAATGGGGAACGTGTCAAAGAGACAACAACCCGACCAAAAAGCATATATAAAGTATATATAATAAGTATGTTATCGAAATTTTTCTAGCACTCTAGGCACATCACGATTTTCTCGCATAGGAATTTGTGAACGAACCTTTGTAAAATTATGTAGTAAAACAGATGAAATCATACTATATTTATAAAACAAAAATTGACAAATAAAATGTAATAATTTTTGTTTTAAACATGTGAAATAGCCAATAATAATAAAAAAAACCGGTAAAACTCGCTATTATTACAAAAATATCCACTATAACATGCAAAATTAGAAAAAAACCAGGGTAACTTAAGAATTGGAACAACAGAGAGAATACAGGGAATTGAACCTAAACCGACAAATCCCTATCTTTAACTCATTGATTTTAACCATGCTAACCTCGCGGCTACCAACTCATACTATACGACTGCCTATTGTGTCTATATAAAGGTACAAGCCCTGTGTGTCCAATGAACCGATGTATATCAGACGTTTATTTAAATATATAAAATAGACATCTATAGTGTAACCCATTGGTAGCCGAGAGGTTTCGTGGATGTGTTGATGTCAGTCGCACATAACATATTTCAAGGAAGGGTTCGATTCCCAGTGAAGGCATATAACAATTACAAAAATTAAAGGTAAATTTTTAAATTAATTCCATTAGTGAACAGAAATCAGTAAATTAGCCAATTTAAACTTAATGAAATTAGGCACACAAAGGAAACAATTGAATATAATTTGGTGAGTCAATTTCAGCGGCAGATTTAGGAAGCGTTGATTCTAGAAAAAGAATCCACGGTAAATGAATAGGCTGACGTCACCACAATGGTTTAATTGAGTATAATTTTTCTTGGTCTTTCATATTTTATTGTACCTCTATTTTAGAAGTGTGCAAGCTTTCAACTATAACTATGAACTTTTTTTAAAATTCTGTTTTTCCATAATTTTCGAAATGCGTGCATGGTTCATCAAAATAAATTCAGTTACAGTAATTTATATTCTAAAAATCCAAAATCAACCAACATTTTAGGAAGTGTTGCTGTAATGTGAATCTGATTTTAAGATATCATTTCAAATTAACGAGAAAGATTCATTAAATTGACAGCTCCTAATGTGTTTTTCACAAGATAAAAACTAATTGGTGGGGCAGAGCTGACGCATTTTAGGAGCTGCTATATTTAAAAAAATCCCTTATTTAAACAATTTTATTATAAAAAAAAAAAATGATTCCCTGAACCTTAATTTTGTAATTAGATTATTATTTGTACCAGACGTATAATTACTTGAAACATTTAAAACCTGAAATTATTGGTTCCAATTAATGATAATGTTGATAACAAGAAATAAACATCTTTAAAAATTGACGAACAATGGAACACTTTGACGTTGTAAAATATATTGTACAGAAGTGATATCGAAATCATTTGAAATTAAGGAATGTATCTCCCTCATGCATAGCCCTGACTCCTTGTCCTGGTTTTGCTTTACTTTGGTTTTTTTTTGTTTTATCAGCTCTTCAACGTTTGTATATTAGGTTTTGGACTGCTAAATATTTGGACCTCGTACATCACTGAAGAGACGTAAATTGTCGAAATGTGCATCTGGTGCAATAAAATTGGTATCGGTAATGTTATGATAAAGTATAACACGTGCGACCGTCTCCTCGGTTTGTGTTTGCAAAAATATACCAAACCTAATAGGAAATATTAGAAATATCGGTTGCGACCCATTCGGTTTACAGAGAAGATTTCCTGTCCTTTTAAGATTTTTTTTTATTTCGATGCTCTTTAATTTTGCAATTTTGGCCTTCAAGGCCTAAATCGTGATTCCATGTCATTATCGATTATCTCATATACTTGAATAAGACATAATCAGATAGACACAGAGAATCCGACCATGGAAGTAATATGTCAATATAACACTCCAACAAAGCATCCACGGAGCCACCATCTTGTAGAGTTTCATATTTATTGCCAGATATATCTTTTTAAATTTTGAAAACATGGAACAACAAAGAATTCGTTCATACTATATTCAACAATCAAGTGTTCAAAACATTTTTCTTATTCTTAAAAGTATAGTGGAATTATAAATTAATCCGCAAATAAAAGAATTTGCGATTTGGCTAATGGATACAACTTTTGCACAAATTCGTTCAAATCAATTATACTGGATATTACATAAAATAACCCTTTTTAAACAATTTGTAAAATATTAGGCAAAAAAGGGCAGTTTTACTTCCTAAAATATATCTTTAATTCCTTGTTTACATGCATTAAACAACATATATCACTTAAAAACTTTTAACGAATTAGGTAGAAAAATTAAATTCGACTTTGTCTACCAGTATTACACTTGTCTATACATCATTCGTCTCCGTCGTGGCCGACAAACTAGGTATATGATACAGCAGGGGATTGCTATAACAGTCACCAAGGAACCGAAAACAATACCAACAATGGCTCCAGCTGTTAGAACCAATACATCACACGTTATCTGGTCGTCTCGATTTCCACAGTTGTTATACCCATTACAGACTAGACTGTTGTCTATACAGAAACCATTATTGCATTTAAATTCTTTGTTTTCACACGGACCTGTGGATTGTAAGATAGTTTTGTCAATATAAAAGGTATCATTTAATCAGATTCACCAGGTCGAGCTTGTCAGAAAGCAGTCCATGTAACCTCTGCGCAATTTCTGCCAATTGGTCAATTTTTTTGTGTAGTATTTTTGTATGTAGAGTTAGCAGAGAGGAAAGATACATAACTTATCTACCTAATTTATCTAATTGTTGTAGTACTGACCCAGTCAAGTTGAATTGATAGAGTAATAATTTGTTTAAATAAGTGTAACTATATCAAGGCAATATGTAATTAATTTTTGTTATATAAAAACTAAACCTTTAACACTAATTTTGAAGTAAAACGTTATGAGATATCAAAACACATTGTAAATTTTTATAGTATGTTTGTATGCTTGTATAGCAAAATGCAATCAAAGAAACACAAATATATTTCTCAATACGTATAATTAAGACTATTTTAGTTAAAATGTGGTGTGAGTTTCTGTCTCGCTGACTCGCACCTTTTAATTATAGCTCACCTAGCCCAAAGGCCATTATGCAGCATTGTGATCCTTAAACGTCCGTTGTCTATTGTCGACCATCATAAACCTTATCTGAACCACAGTATTTGACCTTAAAACCTACCCGTATGTGACCCCAAAACTTACTTGTATAAAACCCCAAAACCTACCCGTATGTGATCTCAAAAATACGCATATGGGAACTCAAAACATACCCGTATGTGCTGCAGTAATAGTAATTTGGAAGTGTGAAATCCTTTTAACATCTCTGAACCTGAAGGTCATGTATGGCTGTTAGGAATTATAGTATAATGCTAACCGTGTTTTTGTTCCACACAAACCATTTTGTCCTACAATCATAGAAAAATAATGCAATAACTGTATACTTATTATTATTATACTGTTGGAATAAATCATATGATTTTATATGGAAATGTCATAAGAATATACTCACTATTCATACTGCATGTATACATATCACATTCAGATTTTTAAGCAATCTCTCTTATATTCCAGAAATATCATGGTCCTTATTCAATTATTTACTAGAATGTTATATAGGGAAATTGATCTTAAATGACAAAACAAAAACTTTAAATAAATAGAAATTTAAATTGTTTTGGAGATTGTTTAAGAGTTAAAAAAAAAAGAAACGGAAATGGATATTTTGCTCTTGATATTGGACATTTCATAAACTAGAAAGAAAACACATCGATTTTTAGTAAATATCAAATTTTATAATAACCCCATAATTTACTGAAATTATTTGAAACTGAAATTTCTATTTAAAGCTTTATGGTTGGTACCTGAAATAGCTCTACCAGTGGGTTCCAGGCTATCAAATATCTCCAGTCGTGAATTTACACAATTCTGACTATAATCCGTGACAAATGTTCTAAAATAGGCTATAACGTTGGCCGGGTACTTTGAAATAGGACTAAATACTCTTACAGTACATGTTGTGTTGAGGTCTATGGGTGATGTTGTATAGTATGACAACGTAATAGCACCATTTGTTATCTGTATAGGTTTACCACCACACTCAAGTTTAAAATTATCTGAAAAAAGACATTTCTTTTAATAAGTCACTTAAACATTATATTTAAAAAAACATGAATGGATTTGATAAAGATATGAGTGAATCGTGACCAGAAAATATTTGCCATTGGATAAATAATATGCTTTAATATTTGAAACAACAGTGACCGTGCGTATTATTGCATTTCTACTTAATTTATTCGCCATGCTATAGCCTGTTTGCGCTGATACGTTGTGAAGCAAACATCAATCAATCAACCT